CTACTACTACTACTACTACTACTACTACTACTACTACTACTACTACTACTACTACTACTACTACTACTATTGTACTACAGTTTAAATTGGAACGATACATTTGTGGTTTAAAGGCAATGGAATCTCTCTTCAACATGAGCTGGAGTGTCATCTAATCATCAGTTGCTGCAGTACCCAATACCAACCCCTGGGTTCAAATCCCATAGACAGTTTTGAAGGTTTTTGATAATTTTTGTGGCAAAGCTACAAAAGGTCGTCTCTGTCCACGAAAAGTTCGCAAAGGAACCTGATGCACTGATCCGTTCCTTGTCTCCTCTGCAAAACATAAATACTTATACTTATAACTTATACATATAATACATATACATATATTATATACACAGTATGTTTTGTAGACTTGGACATCTTCGATCCAAGACCGGGCTTGACTTAATGTGTCTTCCGCCCCACGACACCCAACTGCTGAACTCATCTGCTTCCTTCTCAAACTGTAGTTAGTTCTGGGAACGTCTTTTGAGACCGACCATGGCAAACTCGCTTGGATGAGAGATAGATCTATAGCAAATTTCCACAGGTACTGAAAAGTTAAAATGACACTCGTCGACGGGCATGCAAGAGACCTCGGTGCTTGTCAAACAAGAGACTTGCTTCGTGGGAGCTGTGCTCCGATCATGCTTACACGTGGACCACGGACCTGAAGGCACACGATGCATAGAACGGAGCGGTTTGTGTAGGCGCAGGCAGGCAGTGAACAGGCAGGCAGGTTGGTCGTCCAGGACGGTTTGTATATCGACACACCGAATTCGAGTGGTGACACGAACCGATTGATTCAATTAATTGCATGGAAGTGGACACCCACCACAACGCAGTGAAACGTACGGATGACGAGGGTTGTCATCCTTTTCAGGTCAGTCCATGCCGTACGGTACATCAACCATGAGCTTCGGAGGGTTTTTTTCTCATCGGTCCTCCTACGAAAGACCCGTTCGTGGTGCGAACCTCACCTATAGCAAAGGGGCTTAAGAAGGGGCTCCTGACCAAAGACCCATGTGATCCCAGGTGGTTTCCTCTCAATCACAAGAATGTAGCAAAAGACCCACGGGTCTCTTAAGCAGGTCATACGAAAGCAGGTCAGAAGGCGGTAAGGGGAGACGTCCTGGTCCCTTCTCGTCTCGCGGTCATATGCGTTGCCCCCTTCATCTCCTACTTCCTACTTAAAGGAGTAGGAGCAGCATGGAGCTCAGGCACACCCAGAGCAGCCAAAACTGGAAGCCTGAATATATTGCTTCCCATTCTAGAAGAAAGAGTGTACGTTCCATGTCATGGATACCCATGTTGGTATGCCACTTCCTCTGTATGCTACTTCCTTGAGGAAGCATCAACTATCAACTCTTCACAACAACATCGAAAAACAAAATCAGTGACTGAAACCGTTGTTAAGAACCAACAGGGCATCTTATCCCGCTTCTACCCAAATCCATCCAAGATCAGGACCTCAACGACTTTTCACCGGAGATGACGCTGCGCTTTCGGGGTGCCAAGTGAGGGACAATGAGGGGACCCTGCCCACTGGGTCCTCGAACCGACGCCAAGTTCTGCGACCTTCTGCAGCAGTAGTCGTTCTCCACATCAACATCGGACTACTCGATGCATCCGTCGATGCACATCCGGTGACGACCGAGCGGACCACAAGCCGAGCGGTGCGGACGACCCGAACCGACCCAACCAACACGACCGCGTCGGGAGCGCCTCGGCAGCGGAAGGCTTGGGAGATCTCTCGGCCTACGAGACGCGGTGGGCGACGCGAAGGGCGAACCGTGGCGACGTGGTGGGGGTCCTTCGCCAAGTCTCCGGGGAAATGACCTGAAACAAATCATAGGGTTTTGTGGCAAGGACTTGCAAGGACTGAACCCTGTTTGGGAGTGGATCTTCGCACAGAACTGCAGGTGACTATTGTGAAAGGCTGCACAGGTTCACTGGCCAGTTCTGTGGATGTGGACCTTCTGTGGACCTATGGTATATTACACTTAAATAATGAGTATGAACATATTTAATCATATTTATATATATAGACTGGGATTCTGAATGCACACTCATGGCCCTGTGGTTCAACACAGGCGGGTTGGATATCACCAGATTCAGAAGACTTGGGATTTGTTTGGCCAGGGCCGCCACAGCAGCAATCCATTTGGACTTGCTGCTGTAAGTGATTCGTCCGATTTTCACATCGAAAGAAAGACTGCCAAATAGCTGTTTTAGTCGTCACATCCACAACAAACCGGCCACATCGAACAATATTTTGTCACTATCATTGGTCTTTGAGCGTAGGCTGTCTCTTCCAGCCAGCAACAATACAGCCAAACCTCTTGTGAATCTTCAATAATTTGGGAAATAACACATGTTGCACAGAAGCGCAACTTCTGTCACTGGATTTCTTCCAAAGTCTTTGGACCACTTGTTTTGAACCGCTCAAAGGGCCCTGCGTAAGGTGCGAAAATCTAAACTCCGCTGCTGCTCTGGGCTTTGCTCGTGCTGCAATTCTTACAGCGCCGTTTCATCACGGCCGAGGAGTGCCGAATGCGAGGGCAGCTGGGTGAGACATGAAAGCATTGTCCTGCCCTCTCAGTGATCCATACGGTGTCGTAGTCGACTGACACCATCGTGATCGGCTCGAGGTTCAACTGCCTCTTCGAAGGACCTGATTCTGAGGTCTCTGAACTGGTGCTGTCCTTTCGTGGACTTGCCTCTGGCTCTGGCTTCTTCTTTTGGGGCTCTTGAGGCTTCTCAGGCCTGCTCAGCCACTTGATGAACTCTTCCATCGCTCGGAGGAGCACACAGGAGGCGAAGATGATGCCAAAGAAAAACCAATCCTGACCATCTTGGCCTTTCTCCTGATCTGGCTGGCCATTCACTCCACTGACCAGCATGGCCATCATCATCCACTTCCAAGGCTTCGGGGTGAAGCCTGCCACCATGGTCATCATGACCTTTTGCGATCCTTCATGGATCTTCTTCTTGATCTCCTCATCGCTCTTGTAGAGGTCGGCCTCAGTCAGCTCTTGCAGAACTGGTAGCCGTCGAAGCTGGATGAAATGCTTCAGCTCATTCCATACCTCCACAAATCCTGAACTCAGGAATTGCATCATCTGCGGAGCCAACATAGGCTTCGTCAGGCAGTCTGCCAACATTGATGCCGTTGGAATCAGCATCACATAGCGTGCCCTGCCCGACACTCGTGCCTCCTTGTAGGCGAGCACGTACAAGCGCTGCTGCTTGTCCTGGGGCACAGCTTTTGCTCCAGTGGTCAACTCAAAGAAGTCGCGGCAGTCGGTCATGAAGTCGACCGGAAACAGCGCAGAGCCACTCTCTTGGGCTTTCGTCAGCTGCTTCAGGCTAGGTGCAACGTCAGGCATCCAAAGCTCGGTCAACCGGGTGGAAACCATGGAACTTGCTTCCAAACCATTCACTCCCGCTAGGGTCTCTGAATGGGGGGTGGAATATGACACCCTTTTAGACTTACCACCGTGAGCATACAAAAGATGACCAAAATTTGACAAGGTGCTGGCTTCTTCAGAAGTGCACTGCAGCTCATCTTGACGAAGAATGTGCTGGGGCAGCTCTGGCATGACAAGCACCAAAATTCCTTCCTGCGAGTAGCAGCGTCCTTTAGGTGCAGATGCTGCATCATGAATGCATTGCAACCTCAACTTGGTGCCAGGAGGAAAGAAATGGTAGTGCAAGCCAAGCTCCTTGCGATCATCAGCACAAAACTTCTTTACCAGCTGGTTCGCTTGTCGTAGGTGGTGAACTCGTGCATCAGGAACAGCTGACTGCAAAACCCCAGTGTCTGCAACAACGTCCATCCTGGATGAGCATAGCCACATCAATCCACCGATCACCGATCGGAACTGGGTGATCTCAGCAGGCGTCAGCTTGCGGTCGTCAGCTCCAGGTGGATCATCAACTGGTCGCAGCCTTGATGCAAAATCAGCTTGATCCATCTTCAGGCCGGTCTCGGTCTTGGAGTAGCGGCAGCCACAGTGTGCAAATGGAAGGCAATCCTTGGTGATCTTTCCAAATTCTTTGCACATGTCGCCATAGAGCTGGTTGAGGAAAGTCGGGGAGCCAACCACTGCCAAATCATCAACATGGGTTGTGAGGACTGCCTGCAAAGACGGTGAGGCCTTCGGATTCTTCCAGTGGTAAAAACTGTCATCCAGGTGACTTGGAACACCTTTGCGCTTCTTCAGAAACTCGCCAAGGCTCAACTGCCAAGCCACAGGGGCATCGTTCAAGCCGTAGACGGGCTTCAGACACCATAGTCCGTACTCAGGGATCTCATGAGGTGCCACGGAGAAAGAAGCATCTTCTTTGGCCAAATGGCGCCAGCAGTTGTATGGTGGGATGACCACCACTGAACGTACAGGCGTCTTGATGCCTTGCTGGAGTAGAAGCTCTCGGATGCGATCGAAGGTGAGGCCTTTCAAGAAAGCGCCACTCACATCCCAGCTTTCAGGACAGGTGCCCATCACTGCTGCAGTCGATAGCAGTAGTCGCTGGGAAAGGCGACTTGCCGTAGTAGATCTTGTGCTCAGCTCAGCCTTCTGTGGGTCGAAGCAGCCGCGGGCGCACATGCAGCTTTTGAGGATCTTCTTGCCTTGCTTGATCTTCCAAACACGGACCCACACTCCATCGATGATGACGGTGCCGTCAGGAACCTCATGGAGCTTGATCTTGACGAAGGCTTTCTCTTGCACGAACTGTGCAAGTTCTTTGGCATCAGCTTCCTCCACCTGTTCCCAAATCTCTGCTAGGTCCTCCTCCTTCACATTGTTGTCCTCAGCCAAGGAGTGAAAACTTCCACCATGTGCCAAGTCGAGGTGGTAGTAGCGCAGCTTGTAGCTTGGTTGATGAACCAAAGGCTTTGCATGCTGCTGTTGCACTGCTAGATGGCGAGACTTGGAGTGGTAGATGACATTCTCCATGGTGAGGTTGACATACCAGCGAGGAACGCGCATCATCTCGTCCCAGACATCAGAGAAATGCACTCGATGATGTCGTTGACGATCCAGCATCCATTGAATTGTGTGAAGATTCTGGTAGGTGTCAAAGGAGACCAGGAACTCATCAATCCGGGTCCTCTTCTCTGGATGCATGCTTGGAGATCTGCTTTCTGGGACGTAGCGCTTGGATGGAACAATAGGCAGAGTGGACTCAATCTCCATATCTTCTGGTGGTGGTAGCGGAGCTGGTGCCACATCCATAGGCGCTTGTGGTACTTGAGGTAAAGCAGGAGGTGGTTCCTCTTGGATGCTGAGCGGGAAATACATGAAGTAGAGCACACACATGCTCTCCCAGTGCTGGTAGTAGGACTTCTTCAGCTTCATTGGACAGTCATCCATCTTGGTCACCTTCACGTAGTCAGTGGTGTTCTTCAACCATATCAGAATGGTGCCTCTCGTGGATGAAGGTGGACGGAGTGTATGAAGTGCCTGTCCGTACAGCAAAGCATGTACAGGATGTTGAAGCCAGCTGGACCATTGAGAGAAGGACGCTAAGCACTTTTCTTGTGCTGTTGAAGGTGTAGAAGGACTCTTCAACCAAGTGTGCCCAGAGGAACTCAAAGTGAGCTTGTAGCCGAGGAAGTGCTGGACATAGGGATTTGATTCTTCCACCAATTGCATGGTCTTGTAAATCTCCTCATTGGTGGTGTCCATGTTGAAAAACACACCTCGGAAAGGACGCACGAAGCGAAGTGGTAGTAGATAAGGTCGTCCTTGATGCTTCACAACTGAAGTTCCTTCGTCCTCATTGACTTCCAACAAAGTCGCAGGTCCTCGCCAGCAGTTGTCCCGGTAGATCTCAATCTGGGAAACTCCGGGCGTCATCTCTGAAGTCTCCACCTTGTGAGGTCGTGACCTGGAGGCTCTTGCAATGCGATCTTCAGCAATTGACTGCTGGATAGCCACCAAAGAGATCTGGCGAAGCCTCATTGCACTCTCAAACACTGAAAGGTCACGGTCCAAAGCTCCACGCACTGCAGTCAAAGTGTCGGACTCAAACTCATAGAGAGAGCGTGGAAGGACTCCAAAAACGGCCATTGCAGGAGAGTAGCCGCCATAGGTGAGGCACAGGTTGTGGCTCATTGCAGCTTCCATGCTGATGTCGTTGTCCTCGCTCTTCAGGCCTTGCCTCTCACATTCAGCTTTCATCTTCCTCATAGTCAGCTTGATGAGCTCAACGTGTCGCTCGATCAAGCCAGTGCCAGTGTGCTGCTTGCCAGCTTCTCCAGCGGTGGTTCCTTTGGGGTTGCGAGTGATGCCCAATCTCTCACATTCGATGGCCACTGCTGATGACATCAAAGCAGGCTCTTGATCACTTGTGAGAACTCGCATTGGCCCAAAGAAGCGAACCCAGTTGGCGTAAATGCCAGGTAGAAGATCTTCAGCATCACGGCTTGGTGTGAGGAAGGCAACCTTGTAGCGAGTTGCTACATCCACCATGAGACAAAAGGCCTTGTCCCACAGGAAGAAGATGTCCATCTCAACTTCATCTCCAAAGTGAGCGGCCAATGAGACCTTGGTGCGAGGTCGAGCTGGTAGGCGAGAATAGCGGCGACAAATGCCACAAGAGGCCACAGCTTCGGCGGACATCTCAATGACTTCAGGAGGCATGCCAGCCTTGAGCAGGAGGCTTGCAAAGTCTCTGGCGGTTGCATGCCATAGCTTCTCATGTAAGCCAAGTAGGAGTCGCTTGGCCGTGGCAGGTGCAGTCTTCACTGC